GCTTTTGAACTGCTAGGTTGGCAGGCGCTGGGACCGAGCAACGGGAGCGCACCCCGCCGCGGGGATTCGAACCGCCGACCTTTCGATCGGTAAGCCCTAGGCGCTGAGGCTTTTACCCACAGCGCCACCCGCGTCCCAGCTAACCACTAGATGACAGCATTTCCTGATGGGAATACTTGCAGGACTTTCAGAAATTGGCTTTTCTTCTTAAGGGGGTGGCTGCGTAATACAAACCCTTGAGCCCCAACGTTTCTTTAGAACCAGTAAAACAGAACAGCAAACAGATACTTTGGGACTGAGTGGAGAAGGGAGGAGGGTGTGGAGTATCTTGACTGTAGCCCCGAATCTCCCGGGTGAGAATATGGATCTCTCTGGGATGTCATTTAGTATTCAACATTAAGCCTCCAGCTGGAAAATTCTGCAGCCTGGCCAAGCAGTCAAGGAGATGAGGAAGGAGGTGGGGCAAGTTTGAGGATGGGATGGTGCTGCAAACATTTGCTCTGATATACAAACCTATTGCGAATAGCATTCTGCACCCCGGAAGAGTTTTCTTAATGGGATGTCCCTTGAAACAGCCTGTGTGTTACGAGTTACGTTTCAGAAAAGCGTTGGAAATTGGCTTTCAGAAGGGTTTTTGGCTATAAATTTACTCACCGCAGCAATTTTTCCTCAGATATCCCAGGTGATACTTCGAAAACCTGGCTCATTTTCAACTTCGGATTCAAATAATTGGTTTCAAAGGGGTTGTTGGAATTGATCCTCCGGGGTCATCTGTGGTTGACTGTCTTTGTCTGAATTTCAAAAGTTTGCTCAATACGCAGAGCAAAACTATCTGCAGGCAAAACCGTCCGAAGACATGTCATCCTGTGGTGAGATGGCACATGCAATTGAGCAGTATGTATATAAGGTTATATTTCTTCAAAGGGATTTTTGTTATTTGTCACCAGGCAAAAAAATATTTTCCTTAAAGGGGCAGGCAGTGGCAATCGATCACCATTTCCCCACTGGGCATGGATTGGCTGGCCTCAGAATTTGTCTATCATTTTCATAGACTGTGTACAAATTGTACTTTTTTTCTTCATTCTTATTATCAGCATTGGGGTATTTTATTTAATTATATATGTATATGGTGGTTTTTTGCAATGCTATTTTGCAGCTCTGAGTGGGGAGGATACAGGGAAGCAGTAGCATCTGTGGGGGTGGGGGAGGCTAAGAATGTATGTGTACAATATATGCATCCTTGCGACATGGCAGAGGCGATCCTCATACTCTGTATCCTATGGGGATACCCAGTAGGTGCTTTGCAGCTGGTCCATAAATGACTGTATGTGCGAACTCTGCAATTAAAGGGCCAGACTAGTGATCCTGAGGGGTGTGTTGGATTATTTGACCTGCCCAAGCGGGGCTTACACTGGAGTTGGGGTTCTGCCCTTAAACCAAGTTAACACTGGCTCACCCTCAGTCCTCCAAAGGAGTCAGGATGGGTTCCTGAGCTGGCCCAACTGCACACAGGCAGACGCTAAATCAGGGGTCAGCAAACTTTTTCAGCAGGGGGCCGGTCCACTGTCCCTCAGACCTTGTGGGGGGCCAGACTGTATTGGGGGGGGGAATGAACGAATTCCTATGCCCCACAAATAATCCAGAGATGCATTTTAAATAAAAGGGCACATTCTACTCATGTAAAAACACGTTGATTCCCCGACCGTCCGCGGGCCGGATTTAGAAGGCGATTGGGCCGGATCCGCCCCCTGGGCCTTAGTTTGCCTACCAATGCGCTAAATGATTCCTTTGGGGAAAGAATATTATTAGCTGCACTATTTTGCCTACTTGGAAACTGAGTTTCTGCCTGTTTCTGGGTAGTTGCGGGCCAGGCAGGAATCCACCCAGCTCTGTTACAGATGAGGAGAGGCAGATCGGCAGTGGATCTTCACGATGACAGGCACAAGCAATATTTCTCAAGCACAGCTGGTTAATTCTAACAATGAAGAAACAAAACCACAAACGCACCTTCCGGTGTCGTGCAGCGATGACTCCAGTTTTCTGGCGGTAGCTGAACAACATCTTTCCTCAAAAGTTGTTTTTGGTGTTGTTCTGCATCCACTTTGCTTCTTTTCTCCAGTGCTGGATTTATGCACAGTGGTACTTCAGGTTACATACGCTTCAGGTTACAGACTCCGCTAACCCAGAAATAGTACCTCGGGTTAAGAACTTTGCTTCAGGATGAGAACGGAAATCGTGCTTTGGCGGCAGCAGGAGGCCCATTAGCTAAAGTGGTGCTTCAGGTTAAGAACAATTTCAAGTTAAGAACGGACCTCCGGAACGAATTAAGTACCGTATTTTTCGCTCTATAAGATGCACCAGACCACAAGAAGCACCTAGTTTTTGGAGGAGGAAAACAAGAAAAAAAATATTCTTAATCTCAGGAGCCAGAACAGCAAGAGGGATCGCTGTGCAGTGAAAGCAGCAATCCCTCTTGCTGTTCTGGCTTCTGTGATAGCTGCGCAGCCTGCATTCGCTCCATAAGATGCACACACATTTCCCCTTACTTTTTAGGAGGGAAAAAGTGAGTCTTATAGAGCAAAAAATACAGTACTTAACCCGAGGTACCACTGTATAGGCTAAGTAGGCTGAAGCCTAGGGCCTCTAGATCTAGGGGGCCTACCCAGCCCGCCTGCCCCCCCTCCAGCGGGCAGTCTCCCCTCTCCCAAAATTGCAAACCCAAGACTTCATGTGAGGGCAGGGCAACCCGGGCCCAGCAACTATTAGACTCAGGGCCAGCCAGTGGGGCCCAATTTGAAACTCTAGGGCCCAACGTGCACGTTTTTTGTGGGGCCCTAGTTCACAGCCACAATCTGCAGAATCTTAGAGATATCAATCTGTGTGCTAGGTCATTTTCACAAGGTCAGCAAAGCCCTTAAGAAATCAGACCTGTTATTGAGTTATTGTGCAAGTTTGTACAGTTCACGTCTGGGTTTTTTAAAAGAGAAGATTTTGATGAGCTCGAGAAACAAGAAAAGCCACCTTGCCAAATGTTAACTACAAAACATGGAAATGACAGAAGTGCACCTGACGCCTTAGATGCACTTTCCTCAAGAGGTAAGTTTAGGATAAAATCCTTTATTCCTATATTAGATGCACTTGAAGCCAATTTAAAAAGAAGTGCTGTGTACAGTGATGTTGCACAATTGTTTTTCCATTCTTGCTATTCCGATAGCATCTAAGGAAGAAATTCAGCAAGGTGTTGAACTATGGATGGAAGCATACCTCAAAGATATTGAGCTGAAACTTACCGATGAACTTTTGCACTTTCACCTGTGAGACAAAACCCAGAGGCTCACAGCAGAGCACTCTCTGTCTCCTACAGACCTTTATCAAATGATATACAGTGGTGCCTCGCAAGACGAAATTAATTCGTTCCGCGAGTTTTGTCGTCTTGCGATTTTTTTCGTCTTGCGAAGCACAGTGTCGGGAAAGTTTTGGAAAAGCTTCAAAAATCACCAAAGTCTTCAAAAACCTCAAAAAAGGCTACCACACCGCGTGCTATGAGTTGCTCCTCGAAGTCAAGTCGCAACTGTATTAACGGTGTTAAGAAAAAGGAAACAAACTTGCAAGACGTTTCCGTCTTGCGAAGCAAGCCCATAGGGAAAATCGTCTTGCGAAGCAACTCAAAAAACCAAAAACCCTTTCGTCTAGCGAGTTTTCCGTCTTGCGAGGCATTCGTCTTGCGAGGTACCACTGTACAAGGGAAAAATTCAGATGGCCTTTCCTAATGTTGAAGCAATCTTGCAGTTTTTTCTTAGCTTTATGGTCACTAACTGCTCGGAAGAGAGGAGTTTTTCAAGACTCAAAAGAATTAAAAATGAATTAACGGCCATGATGTCTCAAGAGAGGTAGTCCTCACTGAGCATTCTGTACGTTGAAAGTGACAAACTTAGACAAACAAATTTTGATGAAGTTTTCAGATGTCCTTTAGAGGAGAAATTGTGAATTGCAGAATTTTAAATACCCATCATCATCGCCCTTGAGCTTCACTCAATTTAGTTTATAACACTCTTCTATTTTCTTCTAGTCGTGAGGGTGGGAGCTTGGGAGGGGCCTCACAAATGGAGTAGCTGAGGGCCTCTCTTCATCGAAATCCAGCCCTGCTTTTCTCTCTCCCCCCCCCCATTTTTATAGGGTATCTGAGAATAAGTAAATCCACAAGCAGAGGAAGCTACCTGTTCAATAATGACCGCTCCCCGCATAAAACGGGGGGCGCTCTTTGCGTGGACGCGTGCAGCCCCTGGATCTGGAGCGGCTCCATCAGCATAGGCTCGGCTTTGCCTTCCCCCAGGTGCGATACCTGGAGGTCTCCGCCTACCTCAGTCAGTTGTCCAATCCCGCCTGGGGGGAAGCGTTGCCAAGGAGACCAGGCCAGGTAGGGGAGGGACTACCTGCCCACACAATAGAGGGAGGATCTTACCTGGGAATCCTCACTTGGCTCCAGAGCTTCTCCCACCCTACCCACCCTCAGTTAATGTCTTATTTTGCAGGTTAACTTTTCTTCACAGGTATGCAGGCGCTGCTACGTCAAGGTCGCTGTCAAAGGGCCAGAAAGGAATTCCCCTGCATTGGCAGGTTTTGCCTTTCCCATAGCAAAATGTCACAACTCAGGCCTTGGGCGGAATCCTTTAGTCTATCTTCCTCTTTGCAGCGGCGATACCAGGGTTCCTTGTTAAAGGGGTTTCTGAAGGGAGGCTTTGACCGTACGCCGAGAGGTCGTCATTGCTCTCCCCTGCGGCGGTGGCGTAACGGGGGCGGCTATCTCTGCTTGAACATATGTTCTCCAGAGCCGGCCCATCCCCCACGCACACACTGGATAACCCTGATGCTCCCTAGGTCCCCGGCTGGAGAGGGATAACGCCCAATGCCTGAGTCAAGGTCTACCCACATCTGAAATATAATAAAGTTGTGGCCAATTTAATCCCATAGCACATTATCTTGAGTCGTTATTCCACATGACGGGGGGGCCGCCCAGGATCTGGGGGACTCCGCCTGTCCATGCAAAGTATGTTGAGTCAATTGCAGCTCACCCTTCCCTCAACCAGCAAACCAACTTACACTGGAGCACTGCGACTAACAAACTACAATTGAAAAGGAAACCCGCCTCCTCGCCAACAACAGACCCTGTGGTTCTGGGTGTCATAAGAATAAAAATGTCCCAGTACAGTGGTACCTCGGGTTACAGACGCTTCAGGTTACAGACTCCGCTAACCCAGAAATAGTACCTCAGGTTAAGAACTTTGCTTCAGGATGAGAACAGAAATCGTGCTCCAGTGGCACAGCGGCAGCGGGAGGCCCCGTTAGCTAAAGTGGTACCTCAGGTTAAGAACAGTTTCAGGTTAAGAACGGACCTCCAGAACGAATTAAGTTCTTAACCAGAGATACTACTGTACTCCTCAGCAGGTGTAGCAAAGGAATAATCATTTACACGCAAATCATAATGCACACCAAAATTTATTAAATCTATCAAAAGAGCCGTTTACTTCAAGACCACACCAAACCTTCCTATACTGCAAAAGAGGAGATGAATCGTTCATTTTACCGTTGCCAAAAGTGATGAAATCAAACCACACTTGGTTTCTTTAATCTCTGCCCACTTCGTTCTTTTCTTTTCCTCCTCTTTCCTCAAGTCTCCCATAAGCACCTATTCATTCTCTCTCTATCTCTCATGCACAGGCACCCTGGATCAGGGCAAAGAATTTGGCCACTCCAGGCATGGGTGGGTTGAAGTTCACTATCCTCTTCTGACACCTGGGCACCAGGGGTGGAGCTCTGCTGTAGGAAGGGAGGGGTGGGGCTGTTCCTTTTTGCTGAAAAGGTTGGCTTCTTCGCACGACCCATTATTGAGAGAGGAGGTAGAGAGGAGGGTGCCTGGGACGTCCTGAACATCCCGCTCCCAAGGGGTCGTGCACGCCAGCTAGCCCACATTACCTGAGCCTCCAGCATGGCCACATACAACGTCCAGGTGGTGACCGGGAAGCAGCTCCGTGCTGGCACCATTGACTCTGTTTTTGCCACCTTGGTGGGCACCCAGGGCGAGAGCCCCAAAACTGTGCTGGACAACTGGGGCCCAGATTTCTACAGAGGAGCGGTGAGTGGTTCTGAACGGGATGGGATGCTGGGGTGGTGGTGGTGGAGAATTTCTTTTTTTTTAAAGGGCATGTCTTACATTTCCCTCCGATGAGCTGGGTAACTGAAAAGTGGAGTCAAATCTTCCCCAAGAAGCAAAAAAATAATATTTAAGAAGTGAAATGTTAAGTATGCTTTTCTGCTACAGGGAAAATGAAAAATCTGTTGTTGCATTTTCTCCTGAGGAGCAATTGTGTTTGTGTGTTTGCTTTGCTGGTTTGATAACGTGCCTGAAATCAGCCTTCTCTTTTGCCTGCTCATTCATTCCATGTTAAAACTTGCTCATAAATAGTTAGGTGTGTTTACTTCTACGCCTCTGGCCATAGCTTTCCCCCCCTTCCCTATACTGTGTAACAAGTCAGTGGTTATCCAGTTAAACGCTTCCAGTGACATTTAAACAGAGTGTTCTATATGCACTGAGTTTTGAATAAAGCCCCATCAATATAAAAATGTCTAATGATGATTTCATAGAATATTAATTCAAAATAATACGAGACATCTTGGCCCTATTAATTTTGTGTGGTCTTCTCCACTTTCCTCCAAGCAAGGTTAACTCTTTCTGAAACTTGATGACTTTAAAATTAGGTCAGGAGAAGAATGGAAATCTCAAGGCTTTTAAAAACATTTTCTTTATTAATTTTCCAATATTGACCCAATATTACTAGAGTTTAGCCAATTATACAGATTCCAATTAACATCAAAATAATTCCAATTATTTCCAGATTTATACAATTTAATCAAAGTGGTTTCCTGTGCTCCTTGATCAATGTTTTTTTGTCCAGTTCTTATATTGCTGTGGTTCGTATTTTTTAATTAACATCTAATTACATTTCAGTTGGTATATTAATCATTATGATAACAGCTGCAACGATTACTATTCGTGTTAATTA